CTAAAATATTCCTCATGATGGTATTGAGGGTTTCTATATTAAAAGGGGAACTAATAGCAAGAGCATCACGAATGTCACATTGAAACTGTTTCTGTAGTGCCCAATGATTTATTACAACAATTTTCAAACCGTTTGGAAAACAGAACTACCACAAGCACACCGTAAAACTTGGATTTAACGTTACATGTTCTTATTAGTATTTTGTTAACGATCCTCTTGTTTTTATGCACAACGCCAATCCTTTTTGAGCATGGACTATGTTACATTTTGGACATTAATCATCTGTCGCTGAGGATAAGAGGCCACGAAACTGCAATGGTTTCAGTTGAACTGGCTGAAATGAACAAAAATCCCACTTGTGTTAATCAACGGATGGCTTCGTTCAGATTTCTACATCGCGCAAGAGCTGGAACATCATCACGTCGTATCCTGATTTTCATCATGATGTCATTCAAAGTAGACATTTTTATGCGTGACAACATACCAACGGCGGAGTGGTCATTAGAAAATAACCCTGCTCTGAATATTACAGATATGTGGAGCCCTATGAAGTAGCTGAAGAAATGCGACTTTGCAGTCTGTTCAGACCCTTTGTTTTCAACTGTCTGTGATATTTGGGGTGAAATGACATATAATTATGTCCAACATTTAAGGCAGTTCATGCCAGTGTCTCATTAACAAAATTCTAATGAGTACATGTTATTTTTAGTCTAAGTTTTTAAAATGATGAATCATTTCTTTTCCCATCTGATTTAAACTATCATTAATGTTGCTTATTGCCGACAAAAGTATTCTCCCTTCATTTAACATGCAATGCATGCCCATTCCACAAATGTTGGCGCACCTGAATACACACACAAACATCCTTTTAAGTTTCTTTGATTTCGCACAATTCTGCAAAGTCCGATTCTTTAAGGTTAAATTAGAATTAACATATCTCCGGCGATTTTTATCTTAGACAAAATATCTATGTTTCTGATGATGCACAATTTAATAGCTTTAAATTGGTATGTGAAATTGGAGTGAATTAATTTTCAAGTTTCTTTTTGGAAGCCACCGTAATATATATATATATATATATATGTGTGTGTATATATATATATATATACAGACAGACAGACAGACAGACAGACAGACAGACAGACAGACAGACAGACAGACAGACAGTTGTTGGAGGATTTAGACTTTGCCGACGACCTGGCGTTGCTATCCAACAGTCACCACCAAATGAAGAAAAAGATCCAGGACTTAGTTAGGATCTCGAAATGCATGCCTGAATATTCACCCAGGTAAAACAAAAGCTCTGGAAATCAAAACGGGTGCTTAAGAAAAGATTTAGCTCAACGATGAGGTCATAGAGGAAGTAACCTCTTTGTTTGTTTATGTAAAGGTTTTATGGCTCTCGTAACTGCATAAGGTCATATGAACGCCTGAAGATTAGAGGTGTTTCAAGAGAGTAACAAACATAAAAAAGAAGGAATGGAGATAAGGACGATAGATGTTTGATAGAGAAGAAGAAGCAAACCACACAAGAGCACCCAATAACCACCCACGAGTAACCTCTAAGATGTGTCATAGATGACAGGGAAGGAGCAGTCTCTGACGTCAAGAACAGGGTTAGAAAAGCAAGGGGAGCATTGCAACAGCAACAGTCAGTCTGAAGATCAGGATGTCTTATTATGACAAGTACAAATATCAGAATTTTCTTTACAAAATTAAATGAAAAAGTCTATGATTGTATGGATCGAAAAAATAGAAAATACATATGCAGATCGTACGCGAGATATAGTCTTTATCAATTGATGCCTGAAATCATGAAAATCAACTGGCAGACGCCCTTCAGAAATGTAGAATCTTGTATAATGGAGGTGAATCAAACAACAAAAAAGTGACCGTGTGATCAATAAAAGAAGATGCCAATGAATTGGACACACGTTTAGGAAGCCAACCCAAAATGTGACAGGTCAGAGCGAAAAAAGGAACCCCTAGGGACGCCGAAAGAGGAAGGTCGAGATGCACCTAGGGACGAAATCCGGATGAGGTGGATCTCTAGCATATTGGACACTGCTCACCGGAGGTGTAGAAGATCACCCAGAAGAGAGACAGATCTGATGGAGAATTCTCTTTGGCGGCTTACACCCAGTACCAGGGATAAATAGACGGATGATGATGATACATATCTGTCCTGTGACTGGGCATACGTTTTGAAAAAAAGAACGTTATTCTTGATTAAAATAGCTGCACATTGTGCGCATTCTCTGGCACACCACCCAACCTCTACCACCCCCTCCCCCACTAACAAGGGCCTGATCGCAGTAATGCAGACGCAAACACAT